GAAGGCCCCACTTCTAGAAGGCCACAGGGTAGAGGCTGCCCCAAGAAGTAAGCGCCCCAAGTGAAGTGGCTGACCAGTCATTCTTCTGTAGTCTGAGTTCAATGTAACCAAATAACAGTTTGGTTTGCTAACAGGCAGAGAACAGCCTGAGAACATATCTATAAATAAATCAATCTAAAACAAGCTATGGGTACTTTCTATGATTAGTTCTAGGTGGGGGTGACATAAATCCTGCATTTAGGAGATATACTTGGTATACTTAAAATCAAAACTCACTGGGGGAAGGAGTAATTGAATCAGTCTAAGTAAGCCATTTATGTGAAATTGCTTAAAGTGCATATTTTTGGAAAATATTTGTCCGTGGTACGCTTCCTTCTCTTCTCTAAAGAGCCTGTGGTATTCATGTGTTCATTATCCTCTGATGTCATGACTGAGTAGGGACTGGAATTTGAGTCTCGCCAGTCCAAGTCCCAAGATTGCTCAGCTTCTGTTGTAAGAGTGATAGGAGCAATTAATAGAGCGATGTATGCATGCTTCAAAAATGATTATGAAAACAAGTGCAGAGCATTTGTCCTATTTGTTGATGAGGGTATGTTATTTCCCAGGTTCTCACATCTGAAAAGAGATAGCACTGTTTTAAAAATCGCTTCAACGAATCATCTCCTAAAAACAGCAGCATTTTTTCTCAGGCTTATGCAGGAATCTGAAACAATGGTATCTGCTCCGTTCTGTTGCAGAGAGGTTACTGTCTGGCACTTTGGTGAGATCCGAAGGGTGCCCAGACTTAGTGATCAGCATCTAGGTAGGTGCAGCCAGTAGAACAGGGGTAGCAGCTAGTTGACCTTGGTTGAACTCAGAAAATGCTAAGCAGTTTAGACTTTGTTAATATTTTGAGGGGAAACTATCAGGAAAATCCCAAGTGATGGACTGGATTGGAAAGCCAAAATGTTATTCAAAGAAGACAGTGATGGATCACTTCTGTATTTTTGCTATATAAATGTGACCACAGTCAGCAGAACTCAAAGGAGTCTACCTTTATAGTTGCAGAAAAGTGTAATGACAGACGGAAATGATTCATATCCTATTAATTTTTCCTACTTAGGAAGCCTCTGTTTAGGGAGAGGCTTCGGTGACTTTGTAACCATTATTATTTCCTCTTCTTGGCAGTGATGCTGACTTAATTGGTTACTATGTCTTGCTTGGAACCCTCTTTAAGAACCCTGGTCCTAATGACCCAAACAAACAGGCCATTCCTATAATTAAGATTGTCTGTGGTCCCTCTGAGTCACTTGTGGTGATGCTGAAACTGGAGAGGTGAGTAACTTTTCAGATATTCTGTATCCCATGTAGCATGAAAGCAACTTAGTTTACATTCTAATAGGCGAAGGTCAAGGCTTCCTCAATAGGGTCTTCTGCACTGTTATATTTGGGAACTGCAAGATACATACTTTGTTGTAGAGAAATCTCATTGAGGTGGAGAATCAGAATGGACCCTATGAAACAAGGCAAAGGAGAGGAACATTTTCAAAATTTCACACAGTTAGCATACAGTAATGGATGTACTAGCCTTGGACAACAGAGTTTTCCAATCTGTCAAGGTGTTCCACCCTCCATCCTAAGCTGTATGGTTTGTGGGGAAGGAACTGGTGAAGATGGGGGTATGCTGCAAAAAAAAGCTCACAAACAGAAACAATTAAGAGACGTGACAGGATAGGAATGTCTAATAGGTAGACTGGATTATACAGGGCCAAGATTAAATTTGGCAGCAATCTTACTCTTCGAAGATATTTCTTTTTTTTTTACTGACAGGCAGCTTCCTTCCTTGAACTTTGCAGGTAATGTTTTAGATTTGTTTTCCCCAATCAGTTCCAAGAAAATTAAATTAGAATTACTAGGTTCAGTGATTCTCAATCAGGTAAGCTGATTTCTTCACATCTCCTCTAGAAGAAACTTACCATCAAAAGCATCCCTTGTCAGAAACGGGAATTATGTTGAAATGCTATTTATTCTTGTCTCTGCTCTTAATTGTTGGATATATTCCTGCTTCAGGAACTGAATCCTACCCAAGGCTGATCTCATATTTTAAAAACCTTTATGAACAAATACATAATTGCACTTTTAGAAAATATATTCTAGTCAGCACTGTGCTATGGGTGGCAGAGCAAAGCAGAGCAAAAATGATGCTGGGCAGGAAATCGATATTGGCAGTGATGCTGACTCAACTTCATCAGTAGGCATTTACCCACATTATGTTACAGTGCTCCCAACCCTTTTTTGAATTGATGATTAGCTTAATATTTACTACCCCATTGCCCATCTCTAAGTAGATTTGTTGCCTTTGTTCTGAGTTCTGCCATCTGACTTCCCCTCAGGTTACAAAGCCTAATACTATTCACCTACTTCCTTTGGATGGTATTAAAATAAGGATGGTGGTTATAATAATATGGGCTAGCCACTAGGTTGACTTAAATGTGCCTTAAGCTGAGGATGAAATTAAGGCAACATGATGCGGGTGCAATGGAGAAAGAGATAGTCAGGGCAGATTTAGGCTGTGGTTAGGTGCAAGTGGGAATTGCCCTGGGACTGAGAAGACAGAATGTACATAACTTTTTCAGAACCAAGCTTTCAGGCAAAGGGTGTTACATGCTAAAGATATTTCCCGGTATGGGGTATTTTTCTTTCTCTGCTGAAAGTTGCTTTGGTGACTGAAGTTGCTAAAGAAACTGTTACACAGGAATAATCCATTAGTAGCTTTTACAAGAAAACAGGCTTCCACGAATTTGGTTTACAAGAAGGAATTCAATAGAATAAAAACTTAAAAGGCTTGCTCCAGGTAAGATTCACGGTCCCCAAGCTTGTGATGACTCCTTGAAAACAGCTCCCTCCTACTGACGCTTTTGCTGAAGGCCTCATGCAGCGGCTATCACTGTTCATGGCAGAAAGATCAGTCATGATCAGGTCACGACTCGGCGGAAGATCAGGCTGCGGCCTGGGATGTGGCCGCAGCCGCAGCACTGGACCGAGTCGTGCCGTTGCGGCCTCTGACCCGACGTAGATCTCAATTAGCTCCTTGGTTCACCGAGGAGCTGAGAGAGATGAAACGCCGGAAAAGACGCCTAGAGAGCAGTTGGAGGACTACCCGAACCGAACCCGAC